GTCCATTCCTGGAGACAGCTGGGCCTCAGACTAGATCATTGTGAATCAGGCAGCCACAGAAAACCCCATACCGGAGGATCTCTTGACAGCTCCTGCCTCTAAGGTGCTTTCCAGGGTGGAATAAGTATAAAAATAGGGCCTTGGGGTCAACACATAGTAAGGGAGGAGCATATTGGCAGATAATCTGAACTCAATTCACTATTGATACAAAGTCAATAACCCTGATGATCTAGACATCACTATGTAGATATTGGCATCATTGTGTTACAAAAGAGCCAGCTTCTTCCTCTCTACCACCTGGTCTGTAAACCAAAATAAATTCCCTTCCCCACCCATCCTAATTCTGAAAGCTAGAGACGACTGCCCCTCCACTGCCTTCCACTTTTCCTCTTTTCCCAGGCCCAAAGATTTAAGATGCCTCAGGAAGACACTACAGGGTGGATAGTGACATCAAATGGAGGTGGAAGGAAAAGTTGCTGCTCTGTTCTAAAGATTCTTCATAAATAAGATCCCTCAGTCCCTCTCTGGCCCAGCTCTAGTGTCTCATGATAGTAGCATACAGGAACTTCTGCTGACTCACACTGGCCCAAGTGAATGTGTGCCAAGAGCCAAGGTATGACCTAGCTACTAGAACAGGCTCGTGTTATTACATTAGGTATACCTTCTATTCAACAGTGTACAAAGCTAGGCAGGTGAGCTTTCCCACCACCCCCTTCACTGGTTGCCTTATTATGCAAACTATTTGTTCTGGGCAACTTACAAAGGATATGGACAGGCAAGAGAGTTCCTCCAAGGGCTAACAGGGTGGTTAAGGGGACCTGGAGAGAGAAACCTGGAGAACTAAGGATGTTTAAATGAGAAAAGAGAAATCCAATGAAGAGCTGCTGTCCAGAAATGGCAGCAGACTTACTCCTCAAAACTCCAGAGGGTGCCACAAAGTACAGGGAAGAATGTGACAGCTCATGTTCTAATAATTAGCTAGCATCAACAATGGACCACTACACCATCCATGTTGTGAAGGGCAAACAGGTAGAACTGAAGACTTCAAAGATCTCTCTCCATTACCAGAGTCTAGCATTGCACATGTTTTCCTGCTACCTTAAGACATTCCTTCATTAGGACTATTCTCTCAATTATTTTTGGAGAGGTTGAAAGTTGGTAGGAACAAAGGAACAGAATCTCTCAAAGCATGTTTCTTAAACCCTTCCCCACCCACCCCTGCCAACAACAACAAAAAGTGATCAGACCCAGGGAGGCCTTGCTGAAAGGGAACCTCTGGTTTTCTGGCTTCTCTGGCACCCTAGACAACAGGGCAATCTTAAGTTGCTCATTCATTCCTAGGAATTGGTCCAATTTTCATCAGAGAGAAGGAAGAAGGTTTACAGTCTGTCTTTTTTACTTTGGGCTGTTATAACAAATAACATAGAGATATCTTAAAAAACAAACATTTATGTCTCAGTTACATGGGAAGGCTGGAAAATCCAAGATCAAGGTGCAGGCAGATTTGGTGTCTGGTGAGAGTCCTCTTCCTGGCCTGCAGACAGCCATCTTCTTGCTGTGTTCTCACATGGTAGAGAAAGATTATGCTGTAGTTTCTTCCTGTGTTTATAAGGACACTAATCCCATCATGAGAGTTTAACTCATGACCTCACCTAAACCTAATTACCTCCCAAAGTCCTCACCTCCTAAAACCATCACATTGTGGGTTAGGGTTTAACATATGAATATTTTTTAAATTGAGCTATGATTGACTAACATACAAATTCTGTAGGAATGGAAACATTCGGTCCATAGCATGGCCTGTGGTACTTTCTTCAGCTGGATGAATTCATCCTGAAGATCCAGTAAGTCCAGAGAATAAATGACCCTGAAGGCGGTCAAAGCAAGAATTTGCACTTACTGTTTTTCTTTGGGAAAATGAAGACATGTAGGCAAGCAAAAAGAGAATGAAAATAACCCGAATGGGAGCAACCTCCAGGATGACAGGAGGCAAGAACCAGTGGGAGTTATATACAAAAACCTAAGTTTTCATGTTTCTATCAAATAGAACAGTACATTATATAATCTTTTTCCTCCCTGTATGATTGAAATATTCCACTTTTAAAAAGGGAGGAAACCTGTAGTTTAGAATGAAGAGGTCTTCATTTTCTACAGTTCAAACTCCAATTTCAGTATGTTTGCCTTTTCAGCTAGAACAGACACCTATCTACACTCCTGAACTATCCAGTCCTCTTTATGCCATAATTATTTGGTTACTGATCCAACTTGCTGCTCAAATTCAGTACATCCCTCTGTCTCCTCTGTTCCTAAACAAATGTCAAGATGACAACTAGTAATTAAAAGTATCAAAGCCTTTGGTGACATGAGATACTAAGTGTGGGACATGGCGGTGGAGGTGGCCATAATGACACCAAGGCAGACAGGAAATGCCGTCAAGCATTCCTTTAGGGGGACACGGCAGTCTAACCTATCTCTACTCCAGTAGCGTGGTAGTGCTTATGTCCCACAGAATGCTCAAATGGAAATGAAACAATGATTATTTATTTCCCTCGTAGGCCGGATTTTTATGTTCTATTTAATATAAACATTAAACCCTAGAGTTGTGAAATGTATTCACTCCCTTCCCAGGCGCAGATCTCTTTAAGTAGTGCGAGAGAAGTTGAGTCTCAGGGTAGAGACACCCAGGAAACAGGTTCAGAAACTTATTGTTCTATCACTAGTCAGGTTCTCTTAACCTTCTGGGTCCATTTTCCCTTTTGCACTACAGATTTCCATCCCGCCTTTCTCAGAGGGGGTTGGCAAATAGGACATTCACATCTGGAAGGATTTGTGAGTTTACAGATGGGTGTCCAAGCTTGGAAGGTGAAGGGTAAGTCACTCTGGGACTTGATTTGACAGCTCTGCTCAGCTGGATCCAAGAGCCATTGCCAAGGAAAAATGAGCCATTTATTTCAAAAACAAATAGAAATAAGTAAAGCCCCCAAAGGTTCTACCTAGAGATGGCAAGGTTGGTGATAATGATAATAATGGTTATCAACTTTGTCAACACTTTCTATTTATACCCATTCACTTCTTTTTTTTTTTAACACTGGAATGCTTAAATGTTTTCACAACCCAGCATTCTTAACCTTCTTGAGGGGACATTAAAATGGGAGGATCGCAGTGTCTCATTTTGTACAGATGACAGATTTAATCGGTAGGTGATACCACTGCCCTGTGTTTCCACGTTGTAGGACCAGGTGCCTTAAATACTGCCTGCCAAAAGACCAGAGAGACTAGGAGTCTTTCAGCTTTATGGGGGACCAGGGCTGCATGTTCAGATTAAGAGGTTTGAGGTAAGGAGGAAAGTAATGCCATTTTCCCCTCCAATCCCATCATATTCCTAGCAAATTCCCTAATGCCCTGCAGATGGCACCACTAACAAGGAGTTTCCTGCCAAGAGCCAAGCTCAGATTTGTGAATTCTGCCCTCACTGTCACCTTGGAGCTGAGCCTAAAAGATACACAACACACAGGAAACGACTGACCTGGCAACCCTGGCATTCACATGCTTGTCACTTTTTGTTCTGTCCATTCCTGGAGACAGCTGGGCCTCAGACTAGATCATTGTGAATCAGGCAGCCACAGAAAACCCCATACCGGAGGATCTCTTGACAGCTCCTGCCTCTAAGGTGCTTTCCAGGGTGGAATAAGTATAAAAATAGGGCCTTGGGGTCAACACATAGTAAGGGAGGAGCATATTGGCAGATAATCTGAACTCAATTCACTATTGATACAAAGTCAATAACCCTGATGATCTAGACATCACTATGTAGATATTGGCATCATTGTGTTACAAAAGAGCCAGCTTCTTCCTCTCTACCACCTGGTCTGTAAACCAAAATAAATTCCCTTCCCCACCCATCCTAATTCTGAAAGCTAGAGACGACTGCCCCTCCACTGCCTTCCACTTTTCCTCTTTTCCCAGGCCCAAAGATTTAAGATGCCTCAGGAAGACACTACAGGGTGGATAGTGACATCAAATGGAGGTGGAAGGAAAAGTTGCTGCTCTGTTCTAAAGATTCTTCATAAATAAGATCCCTCAGTCCCTCTCTGGCCCAGCTCTAGTGTCTCATGATAGTAGCATACAGGAACTTCTGCTGACTCACACTGGCCCAAGTGAATGTGTGCCAAGAGCCAAGGTATGACCTAGCTACTAGAACAGGCTCGTGTTATTACATTAGGTATACCTTCTATTCAACAGTGTACAAAGCTAGGCAGGTGAGCTTTCCCACCACCCCCTTCACTGGTTGCCTTATTATGCAAACTATTTGTTCTGGGCAACTTACAAAGGATATGGACAGGCAAGAGAGTTCCTCCAAGGGCTAACAGGGTGGTTAAGGGGACCTGGAGAGAGAAACCTGGAGAACTAAGGATGTTTAAATGAGAAAAGAGAAATCCAATGAAGAGCTGCTGTCCAGAAATGGCAGCAGACTTACTCCTCAAAACTCCAGAGGGTGCCACAAAGTACAGGGAAGAATGTGACAGCTCATGTTCTAATAATTAGCTAGCATCAACAATGGACCACTACACCATCCATGTTGTGAAGGGCAAACAGGTAGAACTGAAGACTTCAAAGATCTCTCTCCATTACCAGAGTCTAGCATTGCACATGTTTTCCTGCTACCTTAAGACATTCCTTCATTAGGACTATTCTCTCAATTATTTTTGGAGAGGTTGAAAGTTGGTAGGAACAAAGGAACAGAATCTCTCAAAGCATGTTTCTTAAACCCTTCCCCACCCACCCCTGCCAACAACAACAAAAAGTGATCAGACCCAGGGAGGCCTTGCTGAAAGGGAACCTCTGGTTTTCTGGCTTCTCTGGCACCCTAGACAACAGGGCAATCTTAAGTTGCTCATTCATTCCTAGGAATTGGTCCAATTTTCATCAGAGAGAAGGAAGAAGGTTTACAGTCTGTCTTTTTTACTTTGGGCTGTTATAACAAATAACATAGAGATATCTTAAAAAACAAACATTTATGTCTCAGTTACATGGGAAGGCTGGAAAATCCAAGATCAAGGTGCAGGCAGATTTGGTGTCTGGTGAGAGTCCTCTTCCTGGCCTGCAGACAGCCATCTTCTTGCTGTGTTCTCACATGGTAGAGAAAGATTATGCTGTAGTTTCTTCCTGTGTTTATAAGGACACTAATCCCATCATGAGAGTTTAACTCATGACCTCACCTAAACCTAATTACCTCCCAAAGTCCTCACCTCCTAAAACCATCACATTGTGGGTTAGGGTTTAACATATGAATATTTTTTAAATTGAGCTATGATTGACTAACATACAAATTCTGTAGGAATGGAAACATTCGGTCCATAGCATGGCCTGTGGTACTTTCTTCAGCTGGATGAATTCATCCTGAAGATCCAGTAAGTCCAGAGAATAAATGACCCTGAAGGCGGTCAAAGCAAGAATTTGCACTTACTGTTTTTCTTTGGGAAAATGAAGACATGTAGGCAAGCAAAAAGAGAATGAAAATAACCCGTAATCTTTCCAAAATGGAAAGGTTCTGAAATCTTCACTTAAAGAAAAGGGCAATGTCTCCTAATTCCCCTCTTTGTCCCTCTCCTGTCCCAGTCACCTCTGAGAGTGGGTGCCCTGGGTCTCCTGTCTGCTCCTCTCAAGGTGCTGTTCAGCAGTAAGTTTCCATCATTTGGAAGCTCAAAGGTGACCTCACCTGAAGGAGCAGAGCAGTGAGCCCTTTAGATACCAATGGGAGGGTGCCAGGGCCTTGAGTTCATATTGAAGTTCAAGTTTTAACTTTCTATTACACTGATCTAAGCAGTATAGTAATGAAGGGAACACAGAAGTAGGGCATCTATCACTAAGAAGCAACAGCAGAATATTGGGGAAAAGGGAGGCTTTGGAGTCAGACAGGCAGAGTTCAAATCCTAGCGCCACCATTCATTATTGTAGGCCTTGTAAAGTTACTTAATCTCTTAGAACTCATTCCTCATCTATAAAATAAAACAATTTTGTAGGGTCCTGGTGACACTGGATAATCTATGTAAAGTACCTGTTAATGTTTAGCACTTAAATGTGGAGGCTCAATCTGGATTAGTTCCTTTTCCTGTGTTATTTGAAGATGATGAAATTGACTCCACATAGTCAAGGTGGCCCTTTCCATGCTAAGAATGGCAGATCTAATAGACAGATATTGTTTGAGTGTTTACTGTAAGAACTACACTGGGTTAGGTATTGGGATTGGAAGGAAAAGGGTGAATTAGAAGCCAAATACAAGTTTCTAACCCTTGAAGGGAAGGAGAAAGGAGAAGAGACAAAAATGGAGGTAAAGTTAAACAACACAAAAGATTTAAATAACAGCTCAAGACAACGAATGTTACAAAACAATGCAGACATGCCTAATTATTCACTGAACTATACAGCTGGATGTTGCTTTGAGAATTCAGAGGTGGTGGTGAAAATCCCTTCAAGAAAGGATGGAAGAAAAGACTTTCGGTTGAGCCTTGGAAATAGATAGAATTTGGACAAAGGCAATTTTGTAAGTTTAAAAAGAGTTTGTTTCTGGACACATCTCTTTGGGCAAAGGGAAGCAAAATCAAAAATGAACAAGTGGGACTGCATCAAACTAAGAAGCTTCTGTACAGCAAAAGATACCATCAGCAGAACAAAAAGGCAACCTATAGTATGGGAGAATATATTTGCAAATTACTCATTTGATAAGGGGTTAACATCCAAAATATATAAAGAACTCATGCCTCAGCACCAAAAAACAAATAACCTAATTAAAAAATGGGCAGAGAACCTAAACAGACATTTCTCCAAAGAAGAAATACAAATGGCCAACAGGCACATGAAAAGATGCTCCACATGGCTAATCATCAGGGAAATGCAAATCAAAACCACAATGAGATATCACCTCATACCAGTTAGAATGGCCACTACCCAGAACACAAGAAAAAACAAATGTTGGCAAGGATGCAGAGAAATGGGAACCCTCCTACACTGTTGGTAGGACTGTAAATTGGTGTAACCACTGTGGAAAGCAGTATGAAGGTTCTTCAAAAACTAAAAATAGAAATACCATTTGATCCATTAATTTTACTCCTAGGAATTTACCCAAAGAAAATAAAATCCCTGATTCAAAAGGATATATGCACCTCTATGTTTATTGCCGCATTATTTGCGATAGCCAAGATATGGAAACAACCTAAGTGTCCATCAACAGATGAATGGATAAAGAAGATGTGGTACATATACACAATGGAATATTATTCAGCCATAAGAAGAAAACAAATCCTACCATTTGCAACAACATGCATGGAGCTAGAGAGTATTATGCTCAGTGAAATAAGCCAGGTGGAGAAAGACAAGTATCATATGATTTCACTCATCTGTGGAGTATAAGAACAAAGAAAAAACTGAAGGAGCAAAACAGCAGCAGACTCACAGAACCCAAGAATGGACTCACAGTTACCAAGGGAAAGGGACTGGGGAGGATGGGTGGGAAGGGAGGGACAACGGGTCGGGGGGGCAGGAAAGAAAGGGGGCATTATGATTAGCATGTATAATGTGTGTGTGGGGCACAGGGAGGGCTGTACAGCACAGAGAAGACAAGTAGTGATTCTACAGCATCTTACTACACTGATGGACAGTGACTGCAATGGGGTATGTGGGGGGAACTTGGTGATGGGGGGAGTCTAGTAAACATAATGTTCCTCATGTAATTGTAGATTAATGATACCAAAATAAAATAATAAAGAAAAGAAAAGAAATACTGCCATTTGCAACAGCATGGATGGACCTAGAGGGTATCATGCTCAGTGAAATAAGCCGGGCAGAGAAAGACAAATACCATATGATTCCACTTATTCGTGAAATACAAAAATAAAGCAAAACAGAAGGAACAAAATAGCAGTAGACTATTACAGTGAAAAGTGACTGGTGGTTACCAAAAGGGAGAGAGGAAGGGAGATAAAGGGGTACAATAATTCGCAATCACAGTATAAGCTGGTCACAGGGATGGTAGTACAGCATGTAGAATATAGTCAGTGATTCTGTAACATCTTTCTATTTTGATAGATTCTAACTGCACTAGAGGGGGTGAGGATTTAATAATATGGGTAATTGTTGAACCACTGTGTTGTACATTTGAAACCAATATAAGACTATATATCAGCGATGCTTCAATTTTAAAAAAGAGGCTATGAAATGTCTTTTTATGTAGTGTTCTAAGTGGTAATTCATTAAAGAGAGAAGATTTCACTAATTGTAAACGTATTGGAAAGAAAGTTATTGTGCTTCCAAAGGATCTGTAAACAAGATCTTATGAGCAAATAAATCAGATTGAGCAACAAGGGTCAAAACTACTTTCCATAGAGTCTGGAGTCTGTTTTGAGTTGAGCTTGTCTTATACTATGAAATTTTGAATTCATGTGTTTATTGATATTTTGCCTTTTAAATTTCACTTCAGTCATATGCATATGTATAAACAGAATCTATGTTAACCAATTGTGTAAGATCAGATGTAATAGTCTGTGGCTCAAGTGATGTCACAGCACTTTATAAACTGCAAAGGACTGAACATTAAATTCACAGATTTGAATATAATCTGAAGGGTCTTCTAGTTTTGTAAATGAAAGCAAATGTAGCCCAGGATGAGAGTGCTTGAACCAGAACCCAGCTCTTCTGATTATTAACAATGCCTGCCATTTTTTCTTACTACATTTGTAATTGTTTTGAGTGCCACATGTATTAGGCATCAGGCTAAAGGCAAAGGATTTAACTGCATTCAAAACATATATGATTTTCTCCTATCAGGAGCCTATCCGGGGGACACAAGCAAATACAAACATATGAAATAATGGCAACTTGTAATAAATAATATGACAAAAATAAATTTAGATACAGTAGTGGGAAGAGACTCTGAGCATGTAACATTTAAGCTCAAATGTGAAGGAGCTAGCAACCAGCCAAAAGTTGGGGAAGGAGCAGCAGAAGGGGAGAGCTCTTTAGGGCAGAGGAAACAGCAAGGCAGAGCCCTGAGGAAGGAAGGAACTTGGCAAGGGTCTACTAGGAACTGACCAAAGGTCAAGTCGAGGATAGAGCCAAGCTGAAGCAGCAGAGAGGTGCTAATTCACAGGGCATAAATTCAAATGCACAGCTGGGCAGACAACGTACACAACGTACATGGAAAAATTCTTGAGGCTTAAGTGCTTACCCATGTGATAGGGGCTGTGGAATACAGGAGTATTCCATAGAATCATAGGTCCTTGTTGCCCAGCTTTGCCGGATCTTTTATGTAAGAGATAGAAATGTAAATTTTTAAGGTTTCAATTCCTGATTTGTGTTCATTCAAATCTGTTAAAAACACCAAACAAAATAAAGCATGTTTATTCCTAAAACATACTCAACAGGCCTAAGCCACCTCCCTGTGTTCTCCTTTCTTTCCTTTCAGCAGAGCCAAGGACCTAGCCAGCTAACTTCTCTTTGTAATCCTCTCTACCCATTCACCCTGTTGGAGCTCTGTTCACTCCAAGCTTGACTGCTAAGAGAGAAATCAACTCTTCAGGGTTTCTCATTATCTTGCTATTACCAAAGACAAGTATGTGTAGCTATGTATATGTGTGTACATATACATACATAAAAGTATATGCTTTTTATTTCCCAAGGTCCTACTGCAAATAACTGGGGAAATAGAAATAAGATGTAAGTACCTTGCCCCTGAGAAGTTACAAGGGTACAAAACTCAGTTGTAAATTCTGGCCCCCGACTCTTGCTCAGATAGTAACTGGGCTCGTCTAGTCATTTAGAATTGGGCTCTTATTGTTTAGTGGGGTGTTTTGCAAAACTCAGCCCTCCTTTTGAATTTCCTTTTACTTTTCTAATTAGAGAAAGGGTTCAACTCCATGGACGTGGCACTTCCCAAACTGTACATATACCAAGGTCTTAGGAAGGTAACTGGCATTCCTTAATTGTGTGACTTTGGGCACCTGACAACCTCTCACTATTTTCTGATCTCTAAAATGCTAATCACAACAACCTTAAGAGGAAGGTTAAAAAGATGTTAAAATGAGATAAAGTCTATAAAATGAGTGGCACATAGTAGGTGGTCAGCTAATGTTTGACTCGGCCCTACTCAGCAATTATCCTCTGTGGGCATTTCCTCACTTACAGAAGGATATTTCTGTAGTTCGCTATCCAGTTCTCTTTACTATTTGCTCAAGCACGCACTAGGACTTCCACAAAAGTGACTGAAAACTCCTGGCGGCGGAGGGACCCCCCAACCCCAACGTAAACAGACTTTCATAAAATGGGGCTACAGGCCTTGGATTACTGACCAGCGGTACCTTTCAGAACGCCAAGGTGCTCTCACATCCTACCTGGCTGACCTGGTCCAAAAGGCTCATTTAACCAAGGCCAAACTAAAGTCTTGGTTGCTACTATAATGCTGGGATAATTTCTTCTCAACAGCACGAGCTGAGCAAGACAGTTGCTCAGTTTAGAAATGAGCACCGGTAGACTCCAAAGGTCCCGCCTCCTTCCAAGGGCAAGTCTATCAGTGTTCCTCTGGTGCTGAGCGGCAGCTCCCTACGAGCCAATGAGTTCCGCTCCCTGGAAGGAACCCACCCACCCCTTGTGTCATCACTCAGTCTCTTGGATGGAAGCCAGACCCGCGCTTCCTAGTAGCGAGGTGGGTGGCTGGTGTTTGCGTTGAAACGTAAAGGAGGCCCGACCTTAAAGGGGAGGGAGCAGAGGGCCCCCCCCCGGGGGCCCTTTAAAACGAGGCGCGTTGGTGCCTTGCCCCTTTAAGGGCGGGGCGTCCCAGCAACTGAATCTGAGCCCCAGATTACCTTGAGTTTGCGTCGCAGGCTGCGAGGCAAGACTCCTGGGCTGGGTCCGGGTACTTGGCGGCGGCGGCTTTATCCCCCGCTCGTCCTCCCCGGGCCCGGAGACACCCTCGCCCCAGTCATGCTGAGCAGAGTATGGAAGCAGCTGACTACGAAGTGCTATCCGTGCGAGAGCAGCTATTCCACGAGCGGGTCCGTGAGTGCATTGTGAGTGCGCGACCGGGGCAGGAGGGTAGAACCAAGCGGGGGAGAAGCACGGGTGTTGAGGAAGAGGGAGAAATTCGGGTCGGAGTGCGACCTCCTGGGCTCAGAAAGCCGTCAGACCCTGCTTGGAACAGGCGTGAGCGACAGAGGGCCTCGGTCCTACCAGAAGGACCGGTGCCCGACTGGTGAACCCCCCCAGATCAGATCAGCTGGGTAACTGCGAAATAAACAAAGCCGGTTGGTTTCCGTTCCTCCGCTCTACCCGCCCCTCCCCCAGCCCACCCACCGGTCTCTCACTCTCTCCGGTGTTCTGGGAGTGGGTGTGCGTGTGTGCGAGGGTCTGGTGAGTCTATAGATTTTGGTCGGGTAATCTGAGGATGGGCTTCACTCGGGGAGGGTTTATTTGCATTTACCCCTCAAACCCAACTGATGTTTGATGAAATGTCCAAACACTGAGCTAGATTGCAACAAAGCTTAGGGAGGTGTAGGGTTGGCAGGCCAGAGGAACCGGGGACTTTGGTGGGTCTCCCACTTTTGCTGGGAATGGATTCTACTCTGTTGAGATGGAGAACAACTAACGTTTCCCCTTCTTTCCTCGTATTAGTTGTTTTTTAGAAACCTTGCAAGCTGAGGTTCCTAGCTTCCCAACCATGCAGGGATTTTCCCTGTATTTCCCCCCAGTGCTCCAGTGGACACCCAGCTGCCAGTCCTTACTCTTTCATACAGCCAACAGCTGAACCTGCCACACAGCAGTGGGCTCCTCGCTTCAGGGTTGTGGGCATCCAGTGGGCTTAGCGAACCCCATCTTCCTAGGGCCTGCTTTCATTTCTCATCCCTCCTCTGTGTCCTTCCTTGGAGCTCCGCAGAGTAATCCTCACTTGCAAATACTGTGTGGAAAGGAAAAGGGAAAGATTTGGAGGAAGAGAAGTCTAAGCTCTAGTCTGCTCTGGGCAGCCTCAGACTGGAGGAGGGGTAAAGTGAGCGATGACAGAACTAGGTCTGGTCTTATCTGTGAGGACAAAAAGTAGGGGATATATTCAGGCCATGTGTGGAACTCCAGGTCTGCTTTCAGGAAACCTTCCTTGTATGTTCCTGACTGGATAGTCCCACATGGTGGAGTTCCACCTAACATGGACGCATGCCCAGGCCTTGAAACAGTGTAGGGCCAGAGGACCACATTTCTGAAGAACAGGGAGGGATGAGACCTTGTACAGAGAAGCAGCCTCCTGGATGTCTCCCCCATGTCTTTAGTCCCATTAGCTGAGGATATCAGTCCTGGCCAAGTGCAGCAGGCTTCTCGTACCTCCCCCACCTGGCTCCCATCCTACTCTAGAGAATGACCTAGCCTCTGCTGGAACTGCGTGGAACTCTAGCCTGACCTTTTGAGCCCTCCCACCTTCCTGGCTATTACGCAAGTCCAGGGCAGAGCACTAAGCAGTAAAAACTTGGAGTTACAGTCTGAGTGGCTCATTCCACTTGGCTTCCCTAATGTTAAAAGGTACGATTTTACCTTAGACCCATGGCTCTTCTGGGGTTTCTGACTTCTTCTACCCTTGGATAGATAGCTGTATGCAGATGCCCTGTGGGATCAGCTCCTCTTGGGACTAGAGAACCCACAAGACTGATCCTGCCTTCTTGCCCCACTTCATGTAATAACATCTCTCCTCAAGACTCTGGCTCCCTGATTATGGAGCCAGGCTGACCAGTGTCTCCTCCCCTGGGCAACAGCAGCTTACTTTGGGTAGGGTAGGGGTGCATGCATGTGCAGAGTGACCTTGCCAAGTCCTGCCATAACTGTCAATTATATGACTGGAGGGCCAATCCACTTAAGGGCATGGGAGAGGACCTGAGAGGTCCTGGAGTTGTAAGTCACTTGATGTAGGGACCAAGGATTGACAGCTTTTAAAGGGGCTGCTGCTGGCTCTAGAAATTATAAATGTTGGGTCCCAATTAAGGCCTAATCTTAGGGGCATGGGATTAAATGAGGATCTGATTTGATCCAGAGCAAATGGGATCTTTCAGAGCCCCTGAATAAAGAGTAGAAGTTCTGACTTGGTCTAGGAGTATGGTTCCTAGTTATTCTCTCCTGGAGCTTGCTTCAAGGTGGCAGTGGAGGGGTGGGGGAGCAGGGAAGTAGAATGCCAGGACAATGCAGACATCTCCTTCCTCCCCTCAAACCTGTTTCCCTTTTCTAATAATGTGATAGGATTAAACTCCCTCTGGTTTGGTGGCCCATTTCAGCTGTGTGTGCATGTGTATCTCTAGGAGTTTTCTCTGCCCAATTACCAGCCAGGGTTCAGCTGAAGCTATTTTCTCCCAGAAAACCCTCATGGGTCTTGCCGTGAAGCTGTTTCCTCAGGTGCATGAGGCAGCCCCCGGTGCTTCTTAGATAGTCTGATGCTTCTTAGAGGACCCTAGTGCTTCACAGAGGCCCCTGAGGCTCTGACCAGAAGGAAGTACCTGGGAGAAAAAGTGGAACCCCTTGAAGTATGAGGCCTCATTTTGGGGAAGAGACCCCATGGAATTAGCAGAAAGGCCACAGGCACTCTGGAATGTGCTGGGGACTAGAGCTTCTCATTCTAGCTCACGCTCTGCCACAGATCTCAACACTTCTGTTTGCGACACTCTACATCCTCTGCCACATCGCCCTAACCCGCTTCAAGAAGCCTGCTGAGTTCACCACAGGTACCTGTGAGTTCCTCCCTTCTGCCAGCCCTCTGCCAGTGTCCTGTTGTCATAGGGCCAGCCTCAGGGGAATGGGCCTGTAGTGCCTGCGGGGAAAGGAGAGGTGGCTATTCTGGAGACTGTCGTCTCTGCCTCACTTCTTCTGCAGCACAGGCAAGGTGGTATAGTGAAAAGTCTATATGGAAGTGTCTGCAACTAAAAAGGCCAGTAGACAAATCATGTAACTTTTCTGACCCTCAGTTTCACCCTCTGCAAATTGGGCCTAACAGTCTCTACCTAGTCCATTGACATTGTGTGCACTAAATGAGATGCTTAATGCAAAAGCCCTCTGTGAACCTAAAGTGGGCAGCTGCAGGGTAAAGGTTATAGTGGGTACAAGCTCTGTCATCTCCTCTCCTAGTGCTCCCACACCCAAGACCAGAGACTTCCCTGACCACTGGTGCCCCAGGACATGGTGATGGTGGCCTTTCTCTTTACAGAGAGCCTAAATGTGTTCAGATTGGAGCTTTCCTTCTTGTAGGCATTGTGTGACTGGGGGGACACGCTTGCCTCAGTATTGGTAGCCCCAGCCTGTCCAGATCATCCTGTTCTGACCCTAGCCTTTCCTTCCCTCTGGATGGCTTCATGAGCCCCCACCCAAAAGGGCAGCTACTCTTTAGTGTAATTCCCCTGGGAACTTTCTCTGTGAATCTCCCCCTCTTCCTCCCCTCATTTCACTTTGCTGCACCCAGCCACTGATGTAACCAACCTCACAGACTAGTTGTTTATTGTACTTTCAGCTTACAAAGAGGAACCTGTGATGGGAGAGATGATGGGGAGGGATGGAAATGGGGGAGTTTCTAGCCTATACTCTCTCTACCTGGGACCACTGGTCTTTAAGATGCCACCTTGGCCAGAGACTATGTTGTGGGGTTCATAATGTGAGCTCTTCTAGAGCCTCCTGTCCAGTTCTGCCTCTTTGGGCCCAGGTCCTTCTTTGAGGGGGCAGGAGGGTACACTGAAACACAGGGCTCCCAGAGCTATCCACTGATGTCCTGCCTCTTGCCCATGGCTCTGTCTCGTAGTGGATGATGAAGATGCCACCGTCAACAAGATTGCGTAAGTATGCCTCAGCACCTGGTACTAGTAGCCTATAGAAACTGGTATCTAATGAGGTCCCTGGAGCCAGGAGGAGAGTAGGGTGTCACACAGTAAAAAGAGAGTTTCTGCTTCACCCCATTTCTGTCTTCTGGCTTTACGCCACCCTGGGGATGCTTGGAAAAGCTGCTGTTCCTGTCTCCCTGGTTAAGCCAGGAGCTTCTGGGAGCCTCTTGGCCAGGAGCTGTCAGCTGGGGCCTGAGTCACCGGAAATGGTCCCAGCTTGGCTTCACCTCCCAGCGGCCATTAGGAAAGGAGTGGGGCGGGGATGAAAACCAGAGCAGGGGATGGGGAAGGTGGTGTCCCGAGGGCCGGGCATGATTGGTTCTGAGAGGATGGCTCTTACTCCAGGCCATTAGTATTCACTAGCATATGCAGAGAAAAATAGAGAGATGACCCCTCTGGGTCAACAAATTAAAAGAAGCCAACCCTGACCCCTTGATGGACTAACTAGATAAAAGTGTCCCTTCTTTTCAGCTAATACAGCCCAGGACACAGGCTTTGGCTCTGAGCTCCCCCATTTTCCCCTTTGCTATGGTGCCCTTGTGCAGGGCATAGCCACATGGGGTGACCCTGCTCCTGTTCAGGCTGAGGAAGGCAAGCTCAGAAATCCACATCACTGAGCAGAGAAGAGAAGCCAGGCCCCTTAGTGTGGCATCATGCCTGGCATACCCTACAGGCATGTGTGGGAGGATCACATTCCTGGGGACAGTCTGGGCAAGTGACATGGCAGGTGACCAGGTTCCCATGGATGCCTGAGTGTGCCCATCCCATGTGTCAAAGTTTCCCTGGAGGAGAGAGCTGGGACTGGGGGTGGGGGCAGTAGGTAGAGCCCCAACTAGACAGTGCCTTCCCTAGGTTTGTCCTGCTATGGCTGCTTCCAGGAAAAGCCAGGGTACCTGCAGGGAGGAATGGGGCTTCTTGGGCCCCAGGAGAGTGAGTGTCTGCGCTAAGCAAGGTCACTACTTCTCCTCCGCCCAGGCTGGAGCTCTGCACCTTCACGCTGGCGGTCGCCCTGGGAGCCGTCCTGCTCCTGCCATTCTCCATCCTCAGCAATGAGGTGCTGCTCTCACTGCCTCGGAACTACTACATCCAGTGGCTCAATGGCTCCCTCATCCATGGTGTGTGGCTCCTAGTTGCAGCGTGGGGTGGGGTTAGGGAGCAGACAGAGTCAGGCAGACACCAGCAGCCTTGGGTGAATCAGTCATTCAGTACCCATCCCTGACACTCACCCTCCTCATGTTCAGTCCCCAATGGGTTGAGCCCTCCCCCACCTTACTGACCTGCTCTGCTTTTCCTTTTTTGCTCTAGGCCTCTGGAACCTTGTTTTTCTCTTCTCCAACCTGTCCCTCATCTTTCTCATGCCCTTTGCATACTTCTTCACTGAATCTGAGGGCTTCGCTGGCTCCAGAAAGGTGAGCGGGGTATATTAATCAATTCAGGCACAAAGCAGAATTCCAATCAGAGCTTCAGCTGAAGATTTTAATGAAGGTACTATTTGCAGAGATTTAGTCAGAGTTAAGACAACCAAAAGGAATTTGAGGCACTAGAACAGCAGGAAGTCATTATCACCCCTAAGCCTGTGGGATCCAAGGGAAAAAATAGTTTCTGGGACCCACTGATAGTTGAAGCTAGAGAGGTGCAGCCACCCAGCAGAGGAGCTGTTGTCTTAGTGTTGCAGCCACTGCCAAAATGATGATGCCAAAGGCAGGAGGAAACACAGCAAAAATACCCTGCCCTCTCCCTCTTCCTACCTTCCACTGCCCTGCTGGGCCTTCCCAAGCTGAACAGGAAACCAGAGGGCAAAGAGCTTGTGTGATGCAGGCCTTGAGGGGAGCCTTCCAGGGCAAAATAAGGATGGTGAAGGAATCTGGGGAGGAGGCTGCAAATGAAGATCTAGTATAGGGAATGGCTCCAGACTGTGGGGTAGGAGGATAGAGTGACTTAGTAGAATAAGAGGGAAATGCCCTTCCCTGTCCCGGGAACCCAGTCCAGCCTGGCTGCCATGTGCCATCTGTCTCCTCCCTTCCCCACGCTGCCCTCGTGTTGACCCCCATGCCCTCCTCCCCTCACCTGCTGCCTCCTCCTGTAGGGTGTCCTGGGCCGGGTCTATGAGACGGTGGTGATATTGATGCTTCTCACTCTGCTGGTGCTGGGCATGGTGTGGGTAGCGTCTGCCATTGTGGACAATGACAAGACCAGCAGGGAGTCACTCTATGGTGAGAGCGCCAGCTTCCTTCCACCCTCCAGGCCAGGTGACTCTTCAGTTGGCTGATGTTCTGCCTGGAACAACTGTGTCCCTCTATGGTGGAGAAGGTTGGGACTCTGCCTTAGACTCAAGTTTCTAAGTGATGGACTTCAAGCCAAATCCCACTGGCAGAAATGTCCCATTGAACTCATTTAGTGATTTAAAAATGTATATGAAAAGCATAGCATAGGGAACATAATAATGTGATATCTTTGTATGCTTTGTATGCTGAGTGATGGTAAGTACACTTTTCATGGTGAGCATTTAATAGTTGTAAAAATGTATATAATTGTCAGTTCACTATGTTGTGTACCTGAAACCAATACAGTATTGTATATGAACTGTATTTCAACTAAACACATACACACACACACACACACATACACACACATATATATATATATATATATGTCAATTGCTGACCTGTTAAAGTTGGGAGGTATCACATTAATATCCAGGTTTCTGGCTATGCCTGACAAGGTTGAGGATCTGGCCACACTAGTCCCCAGTGATGGACTGAATAGTGGTGGTGCCTTTTTGAGAGGCTTAAGATCTCCAGTGTGCTATAGTTTACCCCCTCTTCTGACTCTGGGTCAGCTTCACTTGCATTACTTGCCTAACCCACTGTGGGCTTTTGTGTTGTGTCCTTGCTCTGAGGCTCATCAGCCTCTAGTTAGAGGAGAGACTAGCTGACATACTTCTTTTTTAATCCCAGACCTCTGGGAGTACTACCTCCCCTACCTCTACTCCTGTATCTCCCTCCTCGGGGTCCTGCTGCTCCTGGGTGAGTGTTCAGGGTTTTGGAGGGAATGAGAAATGTTCTTGAGCCAGAGGAACCAGGGTGGAAGGAGAGGGAATGGAATTGTGGATAGGGGAAATGGTGAAAGAAAGGTCTGGCAAGTGACTGACTCTTGTTCCCACAGTGTGTACTCCACTAGGTCTCGCCCGCATGTTCTCAGTCACTGGGAAGCTGCTGGTCAAGCCCCGGGTATGTAGTGCCCCTTGCCCTTTGATCCTGCAGAGCAAGCTTCCTGCAACGCTGGAGCCAAACAGTGAAACAGGCCCTGGTTGTGTAGTGCTCACCTTGCAGAGGACCACAGCCATTGTTGGCTGCTCCTGTATTCATCACCCCCATCATCTGAAACTGGTCCCCAGACATAATGGTGGAACACAAGGCAGGGGAGGGGCTGCATAAAGTTGCTGGCCATGGGTGGTAAATGAAGGTTCAGGGAAGGAATGAGACTATGGAGCCCTGGGGTGAGCAGGGTTCTCCTAGGGCCCTTGGGATCAGGGGACTTCTGACAGTCAGTCCCCGCTTTGCCTCTGCCCCCAGCTGCTAGAAGACCTTGAGGAGCAGCTGTATTGCTCAGCCTTTGAGGAGGCAGCTCTGACCCACAGGATTTGCAGTGAGTTGTTCTTCCCAGCTGGGATGGTGGGCATGGCATGGGCAGGGGCTGCAAGACCCGGGGGGCTGGACTATCTTCTCTGCCTTCAGATCCCACCTCCTGCTGGCTGCCTTTGGACATGGAGCTGCTGCACAGACAGGTTCTGGCTCTGCAGACACAGAGAGTCCTTCTGGGTATAAGGGTTGCTAGGGTTGGGACACCTGGGTTCCCCCAAGGAGAGTAGCCCCTCATTCCAGGCCTTTGCTAACAACTGTCCATCTCTGCACAGAGAAGCGGCGGAAGGCTTCAGCGTGGCAGCGGAACCTGGGTTATCCCCTGGCCATGCTGTGTTTGCTGGTGCTGACTGTAGGTATCCCAGCAATGGTGGACTGGGGAGTCTCAGGCCTTTGCATACTTGAGACCTTCTGAGGAAGAGGGAAGAGGTGCAAGGACCTGATTATCATCAGTAATAGTAGTTGCCTTTCACTGAGTGCCTACTGTATGTCCTGCCCTGTACTGAGAACATCAGTCCCCATTCTGTAAATGAAGAAACAGAAGTTAAGGAGTTTAGCTAAGGCCACACAGGGCCACTGAGTAGTTATACAAGTTTTTCTCTGGGGTGAAAATAAGGGTCAAAATCCAGTCCAACTCCCTGACTTGCCATGTCTTGGACTTGAAAATAAGTCTTACCAGTCTGGAGAAAGGTTCATTTTTCTATTCAGCCTTTCTGCAATCCTTTTCCACCTGGAAAAGATGGTGTATCTTATAAACCCCCAGAAGTGCTCTGTTGTTTAGCAACAGCCTTGAGGAGGTCCCATACAGCTAATTAGAAACAGAAAATATTGAGTGTCTGCTTTTAACATGGGCTGGAGCAGGGATTAGAGCCCATGACCTTGCCTTACCCAGGGCCTGTCTGTGCTCATTGTGGCCATCCACATCCTGGAGCTGCTCATCGATGAGGCTGCCATGCCCCGGGGCATGCAGGTAGTGGGCTGCCCTCCCACCATGTCCTTTTTGGGAAAAGCCTAAGAAGGGCAGGGTGAAGGGGCAGAAGTTGAGGCCAGAGGGAAGGCTGCGTGCTGGGTGGTGCTGATGGTGAGGAGTGTTCCACAGTGACACCACTCCATCTCTCAGGGTGCCTCCCTGGGCCAGGTCTCCTTCTCCAAGCTGGGATCCTTTGGTGCCATCATTCAGGTTGTACTCATCTTGTATCCTTTCAGAAACCCACCATTGCCTCTGTTTGCTGAACCTATCTCCTCTGGGACTCTGGCAGAGCTGTGGAGGGAGTAATGGGGAAGGGGGCAAGTCTTCACCAACCTGGGGTTCAGAAAGAAGGAAAAGACTTGATTTGAAAGGAGGGCTGCAGGGAGAGGTCTGTTCTCTTTGAGATGAGGCATTAATCCTCCGGAGCTGGGCCAGTTCTTCCCTAACCCAGTGGCAGTTACCTGATGGTATCCTCTGTTGTGGGATTCTACAGCTCTCCACTCTTCCGGGGCCTGCAACCCAGATGGCACGACACAGCCATGACACAGGTAGCCAGGAGGGAATAGACGAAACTTCCCCGTGGCATGCATGGTACAAGGTGCTGGCAGTTCTGCTACCTTCACTTCCCCTGTCCTTACTCTCACCCAGATCATTGGGAACTGTGTCTGTCTCCTGGTCCTAAGCTCAGCACTTCCCGTCTTCTCACGAACCCTGGGTAAGTAGCAAAAGGAGGCAAGGGAACTGACTTCTCTTGATAGTTAACTTCTGGTGCTAAAAAGGCACTGTATATACATGTTCTTTCTGATTCCCACAACAAGCCTATGAGGCGGTATTATCCCCATTACTCAGATGGAGAGACTGAGGCTCTGTGAAATGCCTCTGCTGAGCTTCAGAGTAGTGTTGCTTCAAAGCTCAACTTTCTCCATTTGCTATATTCCCACACAGCCTCCCACATTTACTTCCATTTTTTTGGTGGAGAAATACCACTTTTCCCTACATCTTCCTTTGGGCTTGACCATCTCACAAACATTCACATTTTAAAGATGAGAAACAGAGAAAGTAATTGATTTACCCAGAGTTATATAGCTAGTTTGAGGCATGGCCAAGGCAGGCTAGAGCCCTTCTCCCCTAAACCCTAGTCCCAGTGCTTTCCCACACACTGGAACCTCAAAAAATACACTCTGTCCTTCTCCCATCTTTAAAGCTATGATCTAGAATTACCTGGTAAAAATGTTCAAGTGTAACTAGTTCATCCAAGGTAGTATGAGCATATGAATAATACTCCCACATCATCATCGTCCATGTATCAGAAATGATTTAGTACTTACTTCAGTTCTCTTCAGTTCTTCAGTTCATATTCTTTCCCCATACCATTTGTACTTATGCCATGGGGATACAGTAGGAAATTAGGCTTGTGGGTCCTTTAGATTGGATGCAGTTAGGGGACTTTTTTCTTTTAAGGGGAGGTTCCCAGAGTTTTGATCTATATTATTTGATGACATTATTATTAAGTGCTCAATAACTGTTCACATAGTGCCTGGCACATATGGTGCTTTATGTGTGTTGCTTCAGTTCCTTCTCACAGTCCCATTGTTTTCCCTACTTTACAGTTAAGGAAACGGAGGCACAGATATTTGAGGAATTTGCTCCAGATCACACAGTTAGGGGTGGAGTTTGGATGTGAACCAAAACAGCCTGATCATAGTCTGAGCTCTTAGCCTCCACACTGCTCTGTCTACTAAAAAACACTTGGTGACCAGCCTGTAGGTTCCTGGCCCAGGAAAAAGTAACGGGTCCAGGGAACTTTTCAGGACATCTGGAGCAAGAGGGGACCACTTTGGAGGAGATTCCAAACTCTCAGAAAGTTGAAGTGAGCCTACCTGCTGACACCTTCTTCAACAGCCCTGAACTGGTCCTGAGACGGAGTTTAGGGTGCGGGAACAATAAATGCAGAGAAGCTAACCCATTGGTTGTAGTGTTGAGATGTGGCCACCAGAAGGCAGCAGAAAGCTGGGCTCTGGGCCGGAAGCGGGCTGGGGAGCCCACCTCCCCAACTGGCCTTTTATACTTTAGGGCTCACTCGCTTTGACCTGCTGGGTGACTTTGGACGCTTCAACTGGCTGGGCAATTTCTACATCGTGTTCCTCTACAATGCAGCCTTTGCGGGTCTCACCACTCTCTCTCTGGTGAACACCTTCACTGCAGCTGTACGGGCAGAGCTGATCCGGGCCTTTGGTGAGAGGGAGTGGGCAGGCTGGTGGGGTGGTTGTGAGGCAGAGCCCTTTGGAACAGTGATCATCCCAGCAGAGGAGATAGCGTGCTGTCCTCTTTGAAACATACCTCATCTTCCCCTTTTGTGGCTGGGTTCTTTTCCCTGAGGACTGGACCGGTGTCCTACTTTTGATTGCCCACCTTTCCTCTTCTCCAGGGCTGGACAGACTGCCGTTACCTGTCTCTGGTTTCCCCCAAGCATCTAGGAAGACTCAGCATCAGTGACCTTCAGCTGAGGGTGGGAGGGAGAAAACTGGACACTGCCATCTGCTGCCCAGGCCTGGAGGAGCGCCCAGGGGGTGGGTGGACCTCTGGACCTGGAATATGCGAGGCTGGGTGGTAGAGGGGAGCTGAGCCGTTTGCACTGTTTCATAATCTGAGCCAGAGTTTGGGACCAGGCTCCCCTGCTTTTCCAGATTTAACTGTGGGTCTCAGCATGGGGTGGCACTGGGTGACTGCGTCTGGCTCCTGGTCCCAAATCTGTTTACACATCAATCTGCCTCACTGCTGTTCGGGCCATGCCCATAACCATGTTTACATGATGTGATGTGCAATAGGGTGGGGTAGGGACAGGGGAGGGACTGAGCCAGGGGCCGACTTAGGAGGCAGATTGTCTCCCTTCCCTCTGGCCCAACAGAGCCTAAAGCACTGTGCTGTCCTGGAGGAGCTTTGGACTACAGGAGAAATGAGGGCATAGGGAGGAAGAGGCCACAGCCGTCAGCAATAAAGTTAATCCCAGGGTTTTTTAAAGGGCCTGTCTCTGTGTCTGTTTGTACAGCCTTACTCCCACCAATCCTGAGTTTACCAACTGACAGAAACAGAGGTGTTGGTCCTGCCCACTATCCCTTCCCTTCCCCTCCATCTGCATTCTTAAGTGTCCTTTGGGGACTTGGGTTGGTGTTAGGCTGTAAAATTAGGCAGTGGGAGGCTTCTCCTCCCTTAGCCTTGTTTAAAACTGGCTGTCCCCTGACTTCCTTATGCCCATGGCCTTGTTTCTGTGCCTTGGTTATTGGGAGTAAGTGGGCACAGATGTAAGAATGGGATAACCTTCCTTTATATACACATATACCCTCAGCCCTGTCCTCTCCGACTTGGCTATTGGATATAGAGTGAAAGAAGAAGAGGCTGACTGACAAGAGTTGTGATTCCTTCCTCAGAGAAGAACCGAAGTCCTTTCCAGAGTCTGTCAGTGCTTAGAATACCGTGCAAGCCCCCCTGCTATGTTGGGGGTAGGGGCAAAGTTTCCGTTTAAGGTTATGCAAATTGTGCGTTGCACATCTGGGAGCACCATTCATCATATAGTCTCATATATAGTTACTATGACTGTTTTATTGCAAATGCCAGTCAGATGTCTTGAGGAAAGGGTGCTTTTATCTAATGTACACAAAGTTGCTGTGATTGCTAGCCATGGAGCTGAGTAATGGGAGAGCATGGAATACAGAAAAAGTGTAACTGCCACATATACTTGTTGGCCAGGTACTTAAGTTAGCCACAGAGTTACATAATATACAAGTTTGTGCTTATAAATTGGTTTGTCTCGTAAGGGTCATAATTCTGATATCATACACAATGGATAGCAGTTAATGACTTTCTTAAAGTAATGGGTGGACAGTGTCAAGGCATTGCGGAAGGCTTTTCAGAGAAAGTGATTTCTAAACAATAGTAGATTGGTGGGTGAGGGGTTGCAGGCTCAAGACTCTGAGATGAGAACTGAATGGCCAGAAGCAGAGCCCACAGGGTTCAGAGAGGGCTAAGGCTAGAGAGGTGCCTGTATGGGAGGTAAAGGGAAGCGACCATTAGCTTATTAGAGAATATCACTCTTAAGTACCCTCTGCCCTCCAGCAGCTTCCAATTGACAAGTTACTCATTTGAAAAGAAGCAGCTGTTGGTGTCTGGCAAGGAAAAGAGGGGACAAAATTTTAAGTCCTAAACCAGACTATAACTATGAAGCTCTGTTCCTCATTCCCAGGGAAGCAGCCAGCAGAAGGCTGCAAAGGTACCAGGGAAAATAGTCTCCTGGTACCCACCCCTTCCAGTCCTGGTTACTGCCAGTGAGGGGAAATGGAAGTGGGGGAGGTTTGAGGAGGCCCAGGGAAAAGGTTTGTATGCCCAAAGGACTTGGCTGGTCTTGGGCAGAAACTGGAACCCATACTTCGTGGATGATAGCAGAGGACATGGTCTGCCAGGGTAAGCTTTGCGAAAGCAAAGACCCAATTTAAGTATCAGAGGAGGGTGGTTTGGTGCCAAGCGAAGGCTTGGAGGTAGAGGGATGCTTATCCAGGCAGCAGCGGACTGTAAAGCTACTAGGGTTTCCTAGGCAGGTGCCTGCCTGGGTTCCAGGATGGGACACACTTAAGTCGCGAAATGGACCAGCGGTGATCGGCTAGAGCCCCCGCCCCGGTGGGAGGGGGCGGGACGGTCCTGGGAGAAGGGCGGGGCCAGGGGCCACTTAAGGCGGAGCCCGGGCGTTCTGGCAGCGCAGGAGCCAGGCGGGGCTGGCACTCATCCACGACCCCCCCTTCCCTGCTATGATGGCCCGTCAGTAGCAGGTTCCAGACCCCCCGGGGGCATGTAGGCAGAGCTAGCGGCAACCAGGTGCGCAGAGCCACAGGCGCTCTAGGGCACCCTGGGGGCAGGTCTGCCTGCTGCGCTCTCTGGTGCCTGGGGAAATGCCCAACTGACGGGCCAGCTGGTGAGGACAAGAAGGTTCCCTTCTGACCCGAGTCCGCTGCATCCATGGCGCTGCCGGCCAGTCTGGTGCCCCTGTGCTGCTTAGCACTTCTGGCGCTGCCGGCCCAGAGCTGCGGGCCGGGCCGGGGACCCGTTGGCCGGCGCCGCTACGTGCGCAAGCAGCTGGTGCCGCTACTCTACAAACAATTTGTGCCCAGTGTGCCCGAGCGGACCCTGGGCGCTAGTGGGCCGGCCGAGGGCAGGGTGGCACGAGGCTCCGAGCGCTTCCGGGACCTGGTGCCCAACTACAACCCCGACATCATCTTCAAGGATGAGGAGAACAGTGGGGCAGACCGCCTGATGACGGAGGTAAGGAGGGCCTTAACCTACCTGTGCTAGGGAACCACCACAGCTCTGTTTTGCTGTGGCAGCCTAGGAGGGTGAGCTGGGCTTCATCCATACAGACCTTAATCTCACACCTTCCCCACCCCACCCCACCCCTAGAAAAGCCTCTGCAGGCTGGACTGAGTGACCAGGAGGAATCCCAACAAGGAGAGGCAGGGAGGGGGAGGAGGGACTAGTGAGAGTGAAGCTGGGAGACAGAGAGGGCGGGGAAAGGAGGATGGCGGCAGGCGAGACGGGAAATGGCTGAGGCGTGGACCGGGGGTCAGCTACTGAGCCAGGCAGGAAGGGCTGGGGTGAGCTGGGGGCCAGGAGCTGCCTGGGCAGCAGACAGAAAGCTCTACCCTTAGCCTGGCTCCTGACCTGATTGTGGTAAAGCTCTGTGGGCCAGAGACTGAAGGGGGCTGGGAAAGGGGTGGCCAAGGGTTAAGTCACCAGGTCATCTACCTGAGGAGGAGCTAGGCAAGAATGGTCTTTGGCATGGGGAAGGTGTCTTGGAACCAGGACCAGGCTGTTCTAAAGTCTAACCGATTGTCTTAGGGGTGAAAAACAGTCCTCACTGGCAAGAACAGATGGGCCCATCTGAGAATCAAAGGGTTCCTGGCATCCCTCAAACTCAGCTTAGCTCAGGGGCTTTCCTTGGAATTAAAGAATTAAAATGAATTCAACTACCATGTATTGAGCATCTGCTGCAGACTAGCACCTAAGCAATTTAAGGTGAGATGAGCAATGCTTTGGCAGGGAAGGACCACCTCTGGCCAGTCATCTCAAATGTCAGAACTGGAAGGAAACTTGGAGACCACATTCTTCCACCCCGCCACTCCACCCCCCACCACCCATTTTACAGCTGAAAGCTGGGTCCCAGTAGGAAAAGCGATTTAATCAAAGTCTTAAAACTAATTAGTGCCATGGCTGGGACCAGAATTCAGGACTCCTGATTCTCAGTCCTATACACTTTCCATTACACCACCTAATTGTGTACAGAGTGGGGAGGTAGGGGGAGAGGGAGGAGTACGGATTTCCTCTGATTAATTGCAATAGTTTTCCAGGTTACTTTGTTAGGAAGACCTGTCCAGGGGATCAAGAATTCCTTCTTGTTTCTGCCCTGAAGCCTTTCTCCTATCCAGAGATTGGAAGGAGATGCTCCTTCCCTTCTTGATCATGGAATACTGTGGCCCTCTCCTCTGACTGCCACCTGCAGCAGAGGGGGCAGAACGAGGGACAGACCTAGAAGGGCTCTGACAGGCCTGGGAACCCCCTCAGTCCTGCTTATCTCCCATACCCTGGCTGCAAAAGGCCTCCATTGAGTTGGCTGTGCACTGGACTGCTGCCCCCGCAGGTCAAGGCCTCAGGGCCTCCTCAGGGGACAAAACGACAAAAAGTTGGAAGGAGTTACCACTTTTCCTGTCTTCCCCTCCCCTCCTCTCAAACCCTGCGGAGGTGTAGAAGACTGGGAAAAAGAGAAGGGGGAGAGTGTCCCTCTGATAAATAGGAGAAAGTGTCCCTCTGATACATAGGAGAAAATCAAATCTGAGGTGAAAAGTCGGAGGGGGGAGAACTGGCCCCCACCCCAAGGTAACTGTCCTCCCTGCACCTCCTCCCACCGTGTCGGTCCTATGGTGCGCGCCAAGGTCTCCGGCTCCCAGACTGGAGCAGCTGAGATAACCTTGGTCTCACTCCCCCGGGTGCAGGCTTCCAGCCGCGGCTGCTTTTCCTCCTCTCCACTCCCACCCTGCAGGGGACCCCCCAGATCCGCGCTAGGGCAGCTCCAGTTAATCGCAGGTGCTACTCCCACTATTTTCTGGGCTGCATCTAGAATAGAGATGGAGAGATTGGGGCTTCCAGGGCTGGCAGAGCCTGAGCTGGAATAGGGAGGGCTGGCCGCGCTGGGGGAGGGGACCCAGCGGGCTGGAGCACGCATGGGGGGCGCGGCTTTCTGCCCTTTCCTCTCCCTGAGCCGGGGCGGCTGAAAAGCGCCTTTGTGGATGGAGCTGCTGAGTCCGCTTCTCCCGGGCGCGTCCCCGGCCTCGGCCCGGGATTCTCGTTCGGTTAAGTCATCCCGGAGAATGGCCATTGTACTTCGCGCAGCCCCCGCCACCCCAACCCTTTTTCCAGAAGCCTTGATCCTGCACGACTCTTCTTGGGCACCTCTGTGGGGGGCACTCTCACCACGAAGGGGTTAATACTGGTAGCCGAAAGGAGGAGGAGGAAGGAAGGAAGGAAGCGATGCCCAGTGCCAGGGAAGGCAACAAAACAAAAGATGAATCAGGCAAAGGGAGGGCAGCTGGGGCTTGGGGTGGGGGCCAGGCTCAAACTGGGGCTCTTCTCTGGGAGGCAGGCTGCTCAACCCCTCCCTAACCAAGCTTCCATCGCCCTCTCCCAAACTGATCCGAGGTCCCAGAATGAGTAGGGAAGAGGAACGTACTTAAAAAATGGAGAAAGAGCTAGGTGTAGGAGCCCCATCTCAACTTCCGAGGTGACCCCACAGTTCCCAAAGGATGCTCTGGAAAGAGAGTGACATTGGCGACTCATCTGCACACTGTTTGACACCTATTCAGATTCTCATTTCCCCAAGACATTCGAAAGCTGGGAGTGGGTGGAGTGGGGCTGGGAAAACAAAAGAATTGACCCTCTCGTTCAGGTCCCTTTTGCCCCACGATGATGATAGCGGTAGTGAGGA